CGGAGTCTGGTGAGGAGTTATTTTTACTTTTTTTTTAAAGTCAGTGAAGTGTCTCTTCTCACACTGAGGTTTGTTTTATTAACATATTACCTTGGTTAGTAGGTGTTTGAGTGGCGCTTTGGCCCAGAGGCAATGTCTCTGTCATTGGTGTGGTAACCCCAGGGTTCACCTCCTGGGCAAGTTCGAATCCCGGTTAGGGCGGTTGGTACCTTCCAGTGGACTCACCACCCGCAGGAAGGTTTGGTACGGTGCAATGTGATTTGGGTGGCGACTGCTGCCCCCGCGACCCGGTAACGGATAAGCGGATGAAAATGGATGGATGGATGGATAAATGGTTACAGAGTTTAATAGAAAAATTAAAACATAAATCAATAAAAAGATGACTCTTTTAAGTTTGGTTAAAACAAAGGCAATGCAAATAGGAAAGTAAAGATGTAAAGACAGAACTCAACCACAACTGATGAATGTTGAAAATTGTTCCGTGGAAGCGATGGCTCAAATGAATTTCCTCTATTTAAAAATCACAGACCTGAATCACAGATCTGAATCACAGATCTGAATGGAGCTGTGTGTGTAATTATCGTTATCCTCGGCGCCTTTAGCTTGTTTGTTTGTTTGGGTTTTATTTTGAAATCATTACAGACCTGTCCCACCCCCCCTCCACCCTCCCAGCCCCCCACCGCACCTGCACGGCAAGAGCTGCTGCAGAGATTCTTATTCCGACTCCACTTCAGCCCCCGCGGCGGCGTGAAATTCAATTACGTACGATTTCTCACCAATCAGCGGCTGCGTTTCTAGAAGTCCTAGGGACCGACGGCGTAATGTGAAGGACACGTGCCCGACGGCACACTTTTACACTTTTATGATCTTTTCATCATGCATGCACAGAGGGACCGAGGTATGTTCGTTCATGTCAAGATGACATGGTTGTACACAACACACTGTACATGTATGGTATTTAAAAAGCACCTGTGTTTGAGCCACGGGGCTGATGCCTTTGTTGTCCTGCGACAGGAAGAAGCGGATGGACATGAAGAGCTCGTGGATGCAGACCCTGAACTCCTCCTCGTTCTGACCTCCTGTGGCCAACGAGAAGAGCCGACGAGACTGGATGATGTACTTGAAGATGTACTCGCTGGCCTGGGGGTGAGAGGGGTCAGGGGAGAGAACAACCGTTTATCACATGATGGGAAACGAAAAAGCAAATCAGACTTCACCTCAAGTGTCAGTTTTTTTTTTGGAACAATGTCGTCCTGATCTTTGACCTGATGATGGAGTTGTATGACAATTTATGAACGAAAAAAATCATAAATTCTTAGGAAAGTTTTTCTTCGTCTATTTTTTCTAATGTTTAGTATTCAGAATGTTACACAGTACCCCCTTGTGGTCATAGATGGTATGTAGTTCTTTTTGCAATATTAGTCACAGGATCAGAAAAAAAAACCTACTACAACTAGTGCGAACTGTAGAAATGCTGAACTCATATTCTCTAGCACGGAGCTGAAAAAAAGGGGAAATTTAACAATTTTCTTCCGTCTTTGCCTCCTGCCTGACACCTCCATGTCCAAGTACCTTCGTCCATTGTACAGATTTCTCCGCAGCATCGACCAACCATTCTTTAACTTACTGCTTTAACTTTATCATCTCAGCATCTTCATCTCCTCTGCCACTGTCTCAGAGTCTTTTGTTTACCGGACAGAGCCACTGTCTCTACACCTGCATCATAGCAGATCTCACTGCTCTCTAATAACCTGTCCTTTTTTATCAACTTTGCTGCTATTCTTCTGTCACAATTCACCGCCGACACTTTTCTCCGTCCATTCCACAGATTCGTTGAAAACCTTAAATTTTGCCGCAAAACTCAAGTGAAAAGCAGTGCCGTTAAACAAACCTGCAATGCGTCACTCATTTATTATTTGCTGCATGACAAATTAGCATTTCACTTCTGCTGCAGGATGTGTTTGTTGAATGATAGATGGGGAAACCGCGCGGCGGAAGACGCGCCGCGCCTCTCCCTGTGACGAGCGCTTTCTGCCTGAATCATTAGAATAATGGATGTGCATTCACAACACCGGAGGCGGAGCAGTAGATAGTAGATTTCTAATGATTAGAACAAGCGGCAGCTACAGACGTATGACGGGAATTATGAATGACAGTGGGACACGTTTGATGCTGCTGGGAGGACGAAGTGAAGAAAAAGGTTTGTGTTTGTGGATGGATTTCTGTGTTGATGTATAATGACGGCCGCGCTCGTCACCGCAGGAGAATCACACCGCGTTTGTTTCCTGTGTGTATAGCGACAACAAGGGCCTCACCTTGAGCACTTGCTGTATGTGATCCTGATGGTCTGCATCCACGATGCGGTCCACGTACCACTTCAGGACTTTGATCAGGTCCCTGAAAAAGACACAAAACACACACAACTCTCAGAGTTCACCGTTTGATTTAAGAGACAATTCAACCTGGTTATCATTATGACAGGTTCAGAATTATGGTCAAAATGGACGTAGAAATATCACAGATGAATCAGGACGACAGCTGGGAAGACAGCAGTAGGTGATGAAAAAAAGAAGAAGCATCTTAGCATGTGATTAATGTTGGGGTGAGGAGAGGTGAGGGGGGGTAAAAAAGCCCTGCTCAGTTTTAATAATTCACATTTTATCAGCCAGGGGGCACCACAACCATTTCATTCTTGTTCTTAAATGCGTTCTGACTCAAACCGAAGCTGAGAGCAGAGCTGCTGCTCAGCTGTGTTACAGCTACAGCGTCACAGCCTGTGTTGGGATTTTTGTTTCATTTCATTTTGTATAAAGTGTAGGAGGCGGAGGCTGCAGAAGTGAGGGTGAAATAATACAACCACCACGTACCTGTAGGACAACGCTCCAGCAAAGTGGCTTTCGATGTAGGTGTCCATGACTGGTTTGAAGTGCTGGAATTTACTGTCCTGGAGAAGGTTGATGATGTGGACCTGGAAAAGATGAAAAAGAGAGAATATGGAATAAAAAGTCGAACAAACCTGCAAAAAAACCTGAGTTAGCCACGTAGCTTTAAATCCACATAAACACCACGACAACTAAGTGCAACCAAAATGCAACTCATCTGAATCAACACAAACACTGATGATGAACACATCTGATGGAAGAGAATGTATGTTTTCCTATGACAGTTAAGGCATCACTGTCATTACTCAGCAGCCTCTGGTTGGTTGGCTAGCTTTTATTTCATATTTACTAAATTAACAACAGAAGTGAAAAAAAAAAACAGTTTGTAAAATGTACATATAGCGTTATATACCATTACTGTATTACTGTAGAGTATTACTGAATTACTTAGTTTACCGAGCTCAAAAGCGTCAGACCAGATATTCCAAAAGCAAGAGATGACGAAAAACGACAGAAAGTTATTTTTAAACAGCACCAAAGTTGACCAGTATTACTGAATTACTTAGTTTACCGAACTCAAAAGCGTCAGACCAGATACTCCAAAAGCAAGAGATGATGAAAAACTACAGAAAGTTATTTTTAAACGCCACCAAAGTTGACTTCAACACTCGTTCATCACTGATAACATCAGGGCTGAGAGAGTGAAGTGTGTTCGTGTGTCGGTGTGACACAGACGGACAGAGGGACACAGACTCTCTGGGTGAGAGAGGGAGAGATATTGATTTTCAGCCTGACTCTATCAGGGCAGTGCACCATGACCAGGCTGAGGTTGGCTGAGTGATTCCTGTGATCTCAGACCTACGTTTATATGTTCTATCACATGTTCTGTCACCAACGGTTTGTACCTGGATTTTTTTTTTTTTTACGGTACTTGCACAACTACTGTCAATGATTCTCTGTGGATGTTCTATTTTTTTTTTTACCCAAAATGCACACTTCCACAGGAGGGAGCTAACTTGCACTAACTTTCCCACTGTTATTTACATTTGACCTCAGTGCTTGATTAGCTGTAAAGACAAAATCATGAAATGTCACGTGACCTTTTGGGCCGAGGTCACTTTAATAAAAAACATCATATAAGAGACTCCAGAGTCTGGAGTTTCTACTGCAGTGAGGATGAAAATATAAGATAAAGAAATAATACTGGAGGCAGAAAAAAAGTACAAATAAATATTTACTTACCAGGGAGTCAAACACCTTCAACCCATATCTCTGAGAACTTTCATCTAAGATACCGAAAAGGGTGTCCAGAGTGTCCTGCAGGAACTAAAAAAAAAAGAGAAAAAAAAATACTTCAAAATCAAAGGACCTGCATCTTAAGTAGTATTTCCAACTCATAATGTGTAATTTAAATGAGAAACGCTTTGATAGAAGGTAATCTGCGCCTACTTTGACGATCTCTGATCCATCGATCCCCTTCAGCTTAGAGAGGCTTTCGTTGATCCTCTCAGGATGGGCCCTCCACTTCAGCAGGTCCAGCATGTCGCCTTTATGAAAATGAGACGCAGATATGAAAAAGAAATATAAGGACTGATAAAAGAGCTAGAAAAAGCCCAACGACTGGAAGAACATATACAAGACGTCTTGTTAAATAGTGCAGAGAGAAGAGAGTGTCTGTGGTGGTGAAGCATCATCACGTTTCATTTATAGCTTAAAAAAAATAATACATTTTCAATCACAGTGGAATGAAGTAGGTAAAAAAAAAAAAACATTTCCCCAGACATGAATAAAACATAATCTAAAAAATTTTTTTTTTTGGATTCTATTTAACCTGAAGGATTTTGCTTTGGGAATTCCGAGCACAGACACAAGCCTTTGTGTCTGTAGCTTTGATTTGAACCATTTTGATGAAAGAAATGCAGAGGATTTTTGTAGCTTTTGTGGTGATGTGAAGCATGTTGTTATTGTTTCATCACTAAATTCAGTAAAATACTCGTCACGATGAAGAAAAACGTACAATGCTCAGGTGGTTCCTCCATTTGATCCACATGATTCATTCAGTCATTTATTAATTTATTTTTTAAACCTTTTGAGGCTCAAAGATGGAGCTACAATGCTCTTCAAAGCAGCGGTTCCCAAACTGGGGGGCGCGTCCCTGCCAATTTACAGTGAAGGCACTAATTTGTAACAATTATTCAGCCCTCTTTTAGATTAAAATTTTAAACTGATTCAGATAAATCAGCAGAACACAACCTTTTATGGCTTATGACTCCATTTTTATATTACAAATTTCCAATTTTTTTTATAGAATTAGTTTTTGATCATATTTGTTGCTATTTGTTGCAAATAAAATTTTTGTTTTAGAAATTCCAGGTGACCCCATGTGGGTTTGCCACCCCAAGGTTAAAAACACTGAGAAAATGGTTTATTTGTTTAAGCTAAAAACAAACTTCTGAGTTGGTTTTACCATTCTGAGTGAGCTTGGTGGAACAAAGGAAGCTGGTGATCCAGAAAGACTCCTTGGGGCCCTTCAAGGTCTGGTTGTTGGACGGCAGGTTGGCTTTGGAGAAGGGCAGTTTCAGGTACCGCGAACAGTCGACCAAACTGGTGTTTTCTTCACACTGGAGAATGAGAAGGACAGACCAGTATTTGTTACACTTGATCAAATGTGACAAATGTCAGCGTCCAGGTGCAGACTGTCCATCGGTCTTTTCCATCACCAGACTCTGACCACATGAATATGTAAAACCCAGTTTGAATCCTGGGGACGAGCGTTCCGCCTGCTCCGTCGATGGAAGTGCAAGTTAATGAGGAGGTTTTGTTATTTTTGGGTTTTAATGCGAAGCCCTGATGCACAGCTGAGGTTGTGTGAGCTCCAAGGCCACCACAAAGTTTTGGACTGATTCTGCCGTCTATTTTGGGTCTGAGGAGGAAACTAGGCCATGCCACTTTCATTGAGCTTTTCACTAACTTCCATCTGGCATCACAATGGGGCTTTAGACCCCCCCCGGTCCCTACGTCTGGAACACACCAGGTCACCAGAGCGGTCCCTCTTTGGGTACCGCGTCGTTGTTGGAGACCTGAGCAACAGTTAATGTGAGGAGAGGACGATAAAAAAATGTGGAGTGCTTGTTTTTAAACGGCAGCTGCAGTTAACAGTGGAATAAATAATCTGACTCTGGGTCAGTGCGCCACCACAGCAATAAAATGTATGAATACTATCCATGTTTTCCGTCCTCCACAAAAACCTCGGGTTTATGTACACACCCCTCGGCTGCAGCTGAGGACGAGGACGTAGTCTGCAATTATTGTATATTACACCCAAGACGGTCCTGCACAAGCTTTTAACTTTGGAGGTCGGCCATTTTATTTGACTCTGCCTTTTGATGTGTTAAAACCCAAAACGTGCCAAAGATGACTGTGCGAGTCTCTTATGGTCCATTAAACAGAGAAAATGGACGAGGAGGTCACGCAGTGCACGGCGACAGCGACCTCTGCAGCCAGTCTGCCACGGGCCACATGTGCAAACACTCGTTCAGATGTCAGACTCGTTTCACCACAAGGAAACAGACACATATTTACACCTCCTACTGGAAACGAGGCTCGCAGCCCGTCAGTGTTACGTTACTGGACATTAGTCATTGAGCTGCAGTGAGGTGATGAGCTGTTTGACAGCAGGGGGCACTAAATATCGTGACGGACCAGTGACTGCATGTGGCTATTTAGGGCAAACACTTTGCACAGTCACGTTCATTTTGAATTACTACACGACACACTATGTGACATTGAACCATCTTTAGCACAGAGATTCTCAACCACAGGGCCGCAGCCGAAGCTTGAGCCGTCAACAGCACCAAGAGGACCGCAAAAAATGTTCAGTTTTGCATCTATAAGCTGCGTGACTACATAGTGTAGGTTATCAGCAGAAGACACCAGAGATATGCAAGTCACGAAAGGCTCAGTTATAATGCAAGTTTCGACCACATAGTGGCAGTAGGTACAATTCAAGGAATAAAAAACTAAAAACTCCAGGAATACACATATATTATTTAAACATAATATGCAATATATTTAGGGATATATATTTATTGGGTATTTTTGAGAGTATTTAATCTTTTCCCATTTACCTACAGGAACAGATAAATGATTTTTTTTCCTTGTGACTTTGCTGATTTCATTTGTTTTTATTTAGACTGAATTAAAATAAATGTATTCATGTTGTAGCACACATTGAACAACAATGCTATTGAGGTTAAATTGAAATCTTTTATCTATTAGAAAGGCTTAATTATAATTATATGTCTAACTACCGCAAATTAAATTAGGTAGAAAAAAAAAACTGTTTTGATTAGGTGCAAATGGATGGAAGACATTTAAAACATTACCAACTGTTTGTTGTGGTTACATTTTTGTTCACTAATTAAATCATTTAAATTGCTACTAAGATGAATTATATATTTTTAACAACAACACCATGTTGTTATGTAATAACGTTACATAATTCTTTGTTTGAAGTGTAATACCGGTCCAGTCAAAGTCTGTGCTGGACTAACGTCCATAATTTAATACTCTTAAAATTCACATTTGTGAGGACAGCGTTTTGTGTCTTTGTCTTCCAGTCCAAACATTGGCAGAGACGCAGCGCAGGTCTTACCTTGTGTATAATCAGCTCATGTGTGCCATCTGGCAGAGTCCTGCCATCCTCCTGCATCAGAGGAACAAACGAGTAGCCGAACAGTTTCTTCTCTCCCTTGTCTTTAGCTGTAAAACAACGACACATGGACACGTTATTCAGTCCAACGTACACAGAGGCAGGTTGTCTCAAAACAGCCAACAGCAGAGCGCGTTATTATCCTGGCAGTTCTGCTTGTGTGTAAGCACTTGATTGAAAAAGAAAATGTTAGCTTCTAGAACATTCCATAGTAGCTTAGCGTCGAGCTACAGCTTTGTAGGTTAAATGTTATACATAGTAGCTTAGCGTCGAGCTACAGCTGAAGTTTGTTGGGCTTTGTAGGTTAAATGTAATTGTTTTTTTGTTGTTGTTGTTGTTGTTGTATAACTGAACAACATTTTAAATGTCAGTTGTACCTGTTTTATATGTATTTATTTTTCTTCCATACAGAGAATCAGGTGGCTAATAACATTAGCTAGTAGCAAAAAGGCTAAATAGCAAAAGGGCTACAGTTTGTAGATAGGGACGTTTTACTTTTTCATGCTGTTAATCAGAAACATTTTAATTAGCTAAAGACAATATATTGATGGTAATTGATTTTTTAATTATATTTTTTTCTTTGATTAAAAAAAAATCCAAATGCTATTTTAAAAGGTACCCGAAGCTAAGTTTTAAGAACGTTTTTGGAATAAATGATTTTGAAGAATATAAAAAATATATAAAATTTACCTACAGCTCAGTGAATATTATAATAGTTTGTTTTAAACTTAACCTCAAAAAGAAAAGAGCACAAATCACCAAAAAACAATTTTTAAGTTTGAAATGAGTTTTTTGTTTTGTTTTATTACACACTCAGATCAATGCGGCACCAGAGACTCTTTTGATAGACCTGAGGATAATTAGCATCATTATCCCTAATCTCATTCACCTGCTGATTTAGCAATAAAGTGTTATTGCTAACACAGCAGGGTGTGGTTGGTGCTACTGAACTCTCAGCTTCACCACTGATGGGTTTCAGCCAGTGTGTACCAGTCTCTGTGTTTTCTCTCAGAGGAGAAAGAGCAGGAGTCACAACATCACTGGAATTTTTATTTCTTGTCCTGTTTTTTCTGTGTGATCAACCAGAACAGTCATTCCTGACTCTGTTGGTGTTTTCTCATCTATGGTCCCCAACTCCCGGGCCGTGGACCGGCACCGCTCAGTAGGTATTGGGCCACACAGAATGCATAACTTACATTATTTCCATTTTTATTATCTGATTCTGAACGATGTTTTATTTTGAAATATTACTGGATTCTCTCTGCCTCATTTGTATTTATCCACCACACCTTAAAGACCGGTCGGTGAAAAAATTTCAAGCGGTCCGTGGTGCAAAAAAACGTTGGTGACCGCCTTTAATTCAACCCTGTCTCAGAGTAGAAGACATTTGGAGCAGCTGTTGAGACTAAAAACAAAAGTGAAGAAATCCCACTTTGACAAAAGAGTTGTATTGGTTTAAAATAATAATGAATGGGTTCCACACATGTTTTGTGTGATGAGGGTTCTATGGGTTCCCTGTTAAACCCTGGGAGCTTCATTGTGAAACATTACGGGAATCCCAACCAAGCCAGCAAAGAATTCTGGGGCACAAACAGCGACGATGGAATTTTAAAAAGCATCTTTGCTCCAGTTTCGCCCTTGATTGAACGTCTCTGCAGACGGAGGGTGAGAGAAGTTAACTTTTCCCACCAGTTCTGTGTATCCAGTATGACTTGGTCTGTTGTCACCACAGGCCCTAAATTGGCGTCCTAACAGGCGGACCCTGAGTGGTAATGCCGACGCAGCCGGCAGTAATGAGGCCACTATATCTACTTCTCACCACCTCACGGTCACTTAGTTTGGCATAATGACATCAGCTTGTTATGAAAGGAGGAATAAGGCCGCGGCTCTGAAGGGGGAATGTTTTGGTCATAATTAAAGAGTTGTCTCATTAGGCGCAGAGAAGTTGAACAAACAGTTCTTTTAGGAAAATAATGAAACAAGTACACACCAGTATGTGAGGATATACAGAGTCTATCTGAAGCACTGGACTTGAGGCCAGATGGTTTGTTTAAGTAAATGGGAGGAGTGTGTACAGTATTTCCTGGCAGTAATAACTACGGTGCATCGTATGAACAGCGGTACCGATTAACGTCCATCGGCTATCGGGATATGAAGACCACTTTCACCAATGGGGTATTATAAATATAGAGCAGTGGTTCTCAAACTTTTTCTACTCGGTACCACCTGAGAAAACATCAAGCTCTCTGAATTCCACCATGACCAACATTAGAATTCCTCTGCTCGTTCCACGTTCAACTTGCAAGTGATCCCATGATGCCGTGCTGCCTGTGCCTACGTGAGCAACGGACTTGCATTGCAGCAAAAAAACCAAGTAAGTAAATAAAAAAGACTGTTGTATTAATTGTGCATGGTATGTTTCAGATTAATTCAATTGAAAATTTAAAATGTGAAAATATAAATTTTCCCCACGTACCACTAGAGAGCGCTCGCGTACCACTGGTGGTATGCGTACCACAGTTTGAGAACCACTGATATATATATATATGAGTATTAGCATCTACTACATGAACCACATGACTGGCAGGTTTCTAAATGTCAACACCTTCACTGGCAAAAGAGAAACTGGGAAAACACGGTGCTGTAAAACACAAAAATATTAAATGTCAGCTAGAAACCGACATTAAAGGTTGTTTTTGTTTCAGTAAATCCCTCTGTTCCAATGTTAGAAACCTGATGTTGAGCTTGTAACAGCATTGTGTGTTTACTATGAGGACAGTTTTCCTTCCATTAAATTGTGTTTTTTTGTGTGTTTACTATGATGACAGTTTTCCTTCCATTAAATTGTTTTTTTAAAAAAGTCAATATATCGTCATGCCTATAGTAACGAGAATATATCAATATATATGGTATCGTCACCCCTGTATCGTGATGCGTTCTGTATCGTATCGCCAGATTCTTGCCAACACACACAGCCCTAGTAATAACTCACCAGTTTGCCTTAAATCATTTAGAGAATTTAACCTTCGAGCAACTGCTGCTAAATTGTGTTTTGATTTCACCACCATCCCTGCAGGAACTCACTGGAGCAGTGTCGGAACTCGAAGCGTACGTGCGACCCCCGAAACATGTCCACCGGGATGGGAAGCTTGATCTGTTCTGCCCAGCGGGGGGTGTTGTTGTGGTACAACACCAGAGAGTGGTACTCATCGGAACCGGGCTCGCCAGAACCTGCAGCCACATGACTCTGGAACACAGAAGGAGAAGGGAGGGTGGAGAAGACAAGTGAGGAGGGGGAGAGAGAGGGAGAGAGAGAGAGAGAGAGGGAGACGACACAGGAAATTAGAGGAAAGTGTGGCTGCAAAACACTTTAAACTTTTAAATTTGATGCCACTCTAATGACAATTAAAGAGATTTCTGAGAGTGTTGAAGGACGAGCGGTGTCTGGGGCCAACAATGAGGCAGCCACAGTACAGATATATTTGTGTTTTATTTATGTTCAAGGCTGGAGCCACAGGAAACCACCGAGGCAGTCTGACTCAGAGCAGACACCCCGAAAATGAGCCGGACACTGCAGAGACACTTAATTCCCATCCACGTCAGCGATATTCAAATGAGGAACGTTGCTCAGAAATTAAATAAGCTCCAAATCAGGATTTGTTTACCTTGAGTATTTGTCCATCAATATCCAGCACGTAGAGAGTAACTTCCACATTCTTGGCAACGCTCTTGCCGCCCTTCTCAAACTCTCCTTTCTCCAGCGTGACGTAAAGGTCGTTCCTCATCTCACCTGCAGATCAGGATCAGATCAGTGAGACAACAAAGCGTAGATTATGCACACAAGAAGGAATCTTTCACGACCTCACGCAAAATTCATTTGCAGAATAATTCATGACGGCGGCGAAACAATCGCCAAAAGGTATTTATTCAACCGGCGCGGACGCCGGGCAAACTTTGCAGATCGTGCTGCAATCTGAAGACAAAGTCAAAATGACAGAAGAAGACACGGGGTTCTGAGGGAGGGTTTGGACTTAGGAAAGTGACAGAACAATGAATAATGACAAAAATAATGTCATTTAATAAAACAGAATTGAACAGAATAGAAAATAATCTAATGTATTATAATAAAATATTTTTAAAAAATCTGTTGTTACAGATTTTACTGTGTAAATGTATATCTATATATTTTAAAGTGTTTAGTCAGCAGCTAATGTTATAATAAATATTTTTCATTTTTTGAAACTTTATTTAATTCTAATAAAACTAACAATTTTGGGAACACAGTCACATCTGTTAACGCCACCTTTTGGTGGACAAACATAACAGAACACGGAAGATTTACATGAGATGGGGCACATCAGACAAAAGTAAAAAAAACTGTAATTAAAATGAGAGCAAAACAAATGCATTTCCCCTTATTTTTTTAGGAGAAGTGACGTGGTGAAAACTGAGGGGCCTGATTTCCTCTGTGGTCAAACATGTTTATGAACGGTCCCCCATGTAACCTCCGTGTACGTTGGCTAGCGTCAGAGCTCTATATCCAGGGTCCGCATTGATTCCCTACGCTTAGCGACAGTAACCATGGTAACGTGAGGCTTTATATACACAACTATCAGACGCTCACACAAAAGAGGAAGAGGAAGTCCGATACACGGGGGACACGATTATATGTTAAATGATTAAATATATATAAATATATATGTATATATTTATGTGTATAAAAGGTGTCTATTTGTGTAACTGTGATGGAAAGAAGGTGAGACATACTCGAATACAATACGGATCCAGAGAAGAATAAAAGGGGGAGAGTGAGGTGAGACAGTGAGTTCTCTCAGCCCAAGGGCAAACTCCCCAGCTGAGGAGGTGGGAGCACTCGGTGTAAAAAAGGTTGGTAGTCAGACGAAGACAAAGAAAGAGACAGTGAACATAAATCCGCGTTAGTGAGGCGCCGCGGGACCTGGAGTCTCAGGTTCCTCTTTATTTGTGTGATCAGACAGCACATCGGACTTATTTAAAAAGAAACTACTGCCGTGCTGGAAAAGGAAAAAAAATAAATAAAAGAAACCCGTGTGCCGATATTTAAAAAAAACCTCCCATTGTGAGCAGCAATACTGCAGTCAGAAGTGGCAGTGTCTGAGTTAAAGCCATTTTACCGAACGCTTTGGACTTTGGACCAGTCTACTCCAGCGTTTGTTACCATGGCAACGATTGCAGACATTATTAGCTAAGTCAGTGGGTAAAATATAGAATCTGTTGTTAGCCCCAAGGCACCGACATAAGCAATGTTCAACAGGGGTTCCCAACCTCCGGTCCGGGGACCGGTGCTGGTCCGTAGGTCATTTGGTACCGGGCGACAGTGGGACTCAGTGAACAAATGTACTGCAGTTTTACTTATTTACGCCATTCAATGTTTCAAACCAACAGGTTATTCAGACTCTGTCGTCAAACAGAATAAAATCGAAAAACAAAAATGTATTTTGAAAATCCGCAGTAACGGCTGATAGCGACCAACCCGTCATTTTGTACAAAATAGGTTGGAGTTGCTGAATTACAACATCAAATAAAACATAAGAGTAAAGTCTAGAACTGAATTACAACATCAAATAAAACATAAGTCTAGAAGAGACATTGGTAAACTATGGCCTGTGGACCAAATACGGCCCGCTGGGATTTCTAATTCGGTTCGCCAAACGCTGGTACGAAATATGGTAAATGGCAGCAAATGAGCCAAATTTTGTATGTGTGTGTTCCTCCCACCTGGCATGATGATGTCAGAGAAGCCCAACTTCCTGGTGATGGACACACCCCGGGTGAAGAGGACCATATACTCTCGTCGTAACTGTTCGATGTCTCCGTGAAGGAGCTGGAGGGCGACTGCTAGACCTGGAAAAAAAAAAGAAAAAAAAAAGGCATTGATTAATGTCTAAATAATCTGATATTGTAAAAGAGTTTTCCTGGGATGTAAATGACTTATATATGAAGTACTGTGAGCATAGATTCAAAGTTTCATTATAGTTGCAGTGACAATAGATTCGAACTGAGAGAAAACAGACTCCCCTGCACACACACACAGAACAAAACAAATAGCGTGTGCGTCATTGCTGGCTCTCTTTCATCCTTGGTGAAGGCCTGCTGCCTCCAATCAATGTCTTTATGCAACAATCTCAAACATCAACACAGTAGGAGTGAGGTTTTTGTTCTTGTATTTAGAGCTTAAAAATCCGTCCCCTTGGCCAATATGTGCTCGTTCTCATGCTGCGGTGACAGGTGCAGAAACATTTGGAGTTAAACAGGAAGGAAAAGGCAAAAGAAGAGAGAAATGAAACAACCGTGGTAATCATTTGGTGTTGTGATTTAAATATATATATATAAATGTATCCGCAAAACGAAAATCAAGGACAAGGTTTCAGTTCTTTTTACTTTATGGCAGTGGTTTCCTGACCTTTTTTGGTTTGTGACCCCAGTTTGACCTCATTAACCTCTGGTGACCCCGGAGACTTTTTTCTCCCACAAGTAGTCAGCATGGATACTTTTATGTTGTTTTATTTGAACCTGACTTCATTTCATTTTCAAAATTGAAAAAAAAAACCCAGTAGTTTACAATTGTGCGAGGTGGTTTTTAAATTATAATTATTAAAAAATATTTTTATCAGTACATTTTTTTTTATCAATTAGTAGACACTTCAGACGACCCCATTTGCATTCCACGCGACCACACATGGGGTCGCAACCTCTATGTTGAAAAACACTGCCTTATGGTATAGTGTTGTTTAGTTTTGTTGGGTTGTTGTTGTACGATCCCAAAAACAGATTTTAAAAGAAAACATAGTAAGAAAAAAAAACTCCACCAGCGTGAGTCAGAAATACCAGATATCATCAATCTGGTCTGAAGTAAAACACAAAAAAATGACACACTCCATCAACAGCTGTCCAAAGTGGCACAAAGGTCTGATGTATGTTAGACCCCCCCACCCCCCGTTACACTCAGGTCCATTTTGTGTTGCCAAAAAAAACTTGAATCCCTCTCTGTGGAGCTGAATCTCACACAAACACAGAGCTTTTAAAGCTGTAGCTCGGCTACAATTAGGGACAAAGACTCATTACTATTCTGCCTGAAAGATGGAGGTGATGCAGAAAAACACTCTTGACCTCCGATGCTCTCATCCCACTGACATGCCTCGCTGCAGTGGAATAAAAAATAAATAAAAAAAAAACAAAGAAAAAAAATAAAATAAAATAAAAACATACACACAGGAAAATAAGTTGGGCTGTCGCCTCCTCTTCTGTCACTGCCTACGCTCGTGTGTGGAGGAGAGAGCTGGATCGTCTACCTGACCTGACTCATGCGGCGTCACAGTCTTAAAAAAAAAAGACTTTTTTTTTTAAGGGGAGGACGTTAGCATTATATCTGACACAGCACAAACAAAACCATCATCTCCCTCCTCATTAACGCTCACTCTCGCAGTTTTCATTTCTCCGTCACCCACAAACTCCCCGAGAACCTGACGCACGCAGGTGCGGAAAAACAAGAACATTTTCCTCAACTTTCGTGTAAACAAGGCAACCTTCAGCGACTGGTTATTAGCCAAACGACTCGGCCTACTTCAGATTTAGAGGGCCACGCTGTCATCTCCCCCTGCTGCTAATTGGCCGCAAATAAGAGACTCCTGGCGCTCTGCCAGGTCTGTTTAATAGAAGAGCTACAGCGTGAGACCTCTGCAGACGGACACACACACACACACACACACACACACACAGGCTTTGTCCTGCCAAAGACAAAGTGTTCATGGACACACTGATTACGCTATCTCCGACTACTGTGCACTTGTTTTAATTGCCCTCCTGACACTAAAGTGTAATAAAGTGTGGTCCCTTCAAATATTCATGTGGCTCCATAACTCCTGCTGGGACGGTTTTATAGACCAGCTGAAGAATGATGAAGATGAAACTTTTTTTTTTTTTTTTGATCTGTTGATGAAGCTAGACAAGCAGCTAAAGGGTTATGTGTTGGTTAATGTGGCATGAAATGACCTGACGTGGAGTAAAGGGTAGGAATATGTGTTGCTCATGCAGACGATGTACTGAAGTCGGAAGAAAAGACGAAAGCTAAGGGGTAACCAAAGGGCAGACAGTGGGGGTGGAAGGTCTTACTTTACCCCAGTACTTCTCAAGTAGTGGGGCGGGTCCCCCTGAGGGGGCATGGTGAGACGCCGGGGGGAGGGAGTAAGGGGCTTCCAATGGAATATGGCACACTGGACATAAGTGTACCACTGCTGCGATGCTTGAATGATAACAAGCATCCAGTCACTAGGGGGCAGCAACTCATACAGTGGTTTGTACAGATAAAAACATACATGTTCTCAATAGTATTTGAATTCGCGGAGGTGTGGGTCGGGGGGTGTGAAAACATTTCTGTCCTCAAGGGGGACAGGTGATTATCACTGTTCAAGTCTCAAAGCTCTGCTCACTTTCTGTTCAGCTGGCTGTGTTAACTAGTGAAGGGAGAATCAAACATTCTAGTATGACACTAACTATTGGAAAGTGAAATTGCATTTATATGTTTTTTTATTCCTAGTTTTATTTATAAATGGTCTATTTTGACGACGTCAGTTGGAAAACGTTGTGTTTGGTACAGAAATGTTTGATTCAGTTTGAATTTGTCCTCTTTTAATAAGAAGAACATACAATTGTATTTTCTTGTTTGGTGGTTGAGCCCACACACACTCACACACACACACACTCACACTGCACATCAGACAGTTTACCACACGGCTGTTTTCACATATGTAGTACCAGTCCACTGCATACCTACTGAAACTCAACCCAGTCAAGTTTCGATGCTGTTACTCAGTATGTGGCGGGAAACCTCGAAACTTGGGTTTGTGAGTGACTGGAACTGAAGACGGACTGAACTCTGAGAACTAAATCACCCACAGTAATATTATCTGTAGTTCCATTATATAGACATATTATATTATTATATATAAAAAAGTATGATTTTTTTCTTGTTAATTTACAGTTGTTACAATTATTTTGTTTCATTAAAAATCCAAACTCCAGGCACCTAAAACTTTCCTACTAGCGCAAATCCAAACTCCAGGCACCTAAAACTTGCCTACTACTACTACTACTAGAGGAAGCTTGATCCGATGGTACCTAAGCCCAAATGTTCAACTTTGCACAATCATCGCCTCGGTAACGGCAGCCTGTGGCGTGCCGGAGAAAAAAATAAGGTATCGGCCTCAGATTGGTAGAAACCCCAAGTGACAGTATCGGTATCGGACATGAAAAAGTTGTATTGGGTCATGCCTAGTGTATACAGTCGTAGCAAACATCTTCTACAAACGATGACGTGACATCATCATCACCGCATCGTCAACGTAAGTTCTTCATTGATGCAGCAGCGTTGCATCGAGTCTGGTCTAAACATTTGTGTCCTTCAGTTTAATTACTGCATCCCTCGGAGCTCATGTCAGATTATCTATGATAATTCACCATGCTGCAGCTGTGCGCTAGCTCCTCGAGCGTCGATTAGTCTCCTGAGGGATGCTGGGAGGAGGAGCTGACTCAGTCTACGGGTCCAACAGATTCCCGTTCACTTCACACATTACACATCAGGCCGTGATGTTGCAGAACAGAATGCATGGGAGAATATGCAAGTTGAGACCAAGATCTCTAGTTCAAACACACTCACGGAAACTAAGGCCCGCATGTCAGTTGCTACATATGAGCACAGCTGCAGCAGTAACCACTGCAGTTCACAGGCTGACGTCTGCCCGCGCTGTAGTACAGTTCCTATGACCACGATCGTCCTTTTTTATCGGACGCGGTAACAGCTGTACCGCCTGTTAAAAGCGTTTACGTAACACTCAGATTCAGGTTAAATACAGAGCCCACTGTCAAACAAACGGCTCAACGTTTCCTAATGTCAACGTGACACTCTTTTTGAAGAACTCGGTGTTCTCCGATTCCACCAACCTGTTGCTATTGGAAACTGCTGATACTGGTGTACATATGGTGTGAATGCATCTATTTTTAAAGCCCCGTCTTAACGCCTGTGCAGCAGCAGCTTCCTGTCGACCGCCAACCACAAAGAAGAGTTCTGTCCACCAAAAAGGAAGTGAACGTGCACGTGACCTAATCCGACCAGACACTGGACAGTCGGGCGGAGAAAGAGTGACGCAGCGAGTGAGCTGAGGTTTTCATCAGGGCAAGAATAATTTTGACCAGATTGCGATGGAAAGTTTTGATGTCAACCACAGCAACAAACACGTTTTTCACATCCTTAGGTCTCGCTCGCAGCTTCTCTAACACCTTAAAAGAGGCGTCCTGTTTCTCACCTGTGTTTGAGCCCGACAGGTTGTATCTGGAGTTAGCCTTTTTGATGATGTTTTCATGAATCTGGTGCCATTCACTCTCTGTGTTACACCTGAGACAAAACAATAACAGACAGACGGGAAAAACACATCAGACGTGAACATTTTCCTGCATGACGTCACAGAAAAAGTTTTGGTTTTTATATTTTGTCCAAGCACTTGCCCCACGGCATTTGTTGCACAAATTGAATTTTTTTTTTTAATTTATATACACAATTTTAATTTTAAATACGTTTTTTGCAGTTGTGAATGCAACGTTTCCAAAGTAAAAATTCCACATTTTAGAAAACATATCATAACCTGCTTCTTTCATCAAAACCTGATCATAAACTGTTGCAAAGACTAAATAATTTATTATTTATTCTTAGTTTATTTTCCTTCTAAATGTGTTGTTTGCTCTTATTTTGTGTGGTTATGTTTGTTTTTAATCACCTGACTCCTGACTATCAGGGTGAGAAACTTTGGTTGATTTTCTTTCTAAAGGAGATGATACAAATAGCAGTCAGGAAAAACAGATATCAAAATATTAGCGCTGAAGCCCAGAACTAAAAGTCTCACCATCGACCTTTGACCCACAGACTGCCTTTGGTCAGATTTTTGGTCAGACATAAAAGAGGAAATGAATGTTTTTCTCGAGTCTTGTTCATAACTTCCGTGTCTCCACAGTCGGCAGAAATAAAAGTCAGAGTGAAAAACACATCCACTTGTTGCGACAGGTAAGTGAATCGATTCCTGTCTCTGAAACTGCCCTGTGGTTGCAACTTTGTGTCCCAGCCCTTTAATAATACATGTCTATCAGACTCTTACTTATAAAAGGCACGGGTTGTTTATTAACGTTGCACTGAGTCAGGCTTTCATTCAGTGTTTAAAAGGGACTCAGCATGTTTTATTCATTAGTTTTTTGTTGTCCTTTTAAAAAAAATAAATTGCAGAATGCCTTTGTGCCTCTGTGTTAATTGGAAAAACACACTGTAGAAAAAACTTTATGCAAATTGAATAAAAGAAAAATCTTCCACTAAAACCTGGAACAGGTTTTTCTGCAGGTCTTAAAAAAAAAGTGTATTTTGTGTTTAATGTGTTTTGGGCCAGACATTCTGATCCTCACCACTGCATCAACAATGGCCTGGTCTGTCCCTCTGGACATTGTCTAGACTCAAGAAAAATCACAAAATACTAAAGGCAGCAGGAGGTGAGAGGCACCGAGCTGGAGGAAAATTTGCAAATGTCTGCCTTTCTGCTGTAAATTGCTGCTATTAATACAACTGGCGACTAAATAAAAAAAAAATTGTAGGCACTCAAATGTAAATTTTAACACACTGTACCACAAAGTGTGACATCAGCAGCACGTTATAAATGACTACTTCATGCTTTTATTTTAGGCAGAGAAAAACGCCTGGCTGTTTGCTGCGACTTACGCATAGACCTTGAGCAGGTGGTCATCCTTGGAGTCAGCAGTGAGGAGATCAGCGATGCTGACGACAGCGCAGCCGAACGGCCGTCGGTACTGCACGCTGCACAGGTTCTTCTTCTCTCCGGCTCCCATCCTCCCTGCACGCACGCACACCAACACAAAGAGTCACAACTGCACAGTCAAGTGGTCCGTACTGTGGCGTCGTTAGCCGTACCTATTCTGATGATGTGCACCACGATGTAGACGTCCTTGCGTAAATCGCTGCTTCCCAAATCCTGACAAGACACGGAAATAAAAAAATAAAAAATGTATTCACCGTACACATGACTGAGTTCTGCCTCACAAAAAGGGCGAACGTCAAACTCACCACGAACAGTGTGCACTGCCTCTCTGTCTTCTCCGGCGACTTGGGCAAGCCGCTTTTATTCAGCCTGACAAAGAAGCGTTCACTGGAGAACATGAGAGCGAGAGACAGAGGACGGGCGTTGAGATGAATGGGGTCAAAGGTCATGACTGTGATGCTATTCGGAACGAGTGCATTTGAGTGATTACAATACAAAAGGAAAGGGCAGCGAATTAAAAACCAATTACGACTGCTGCTCTTGTCACAGTCTCAAAAACACAGAAGTGGAACTCCTGGTGTTTGATCATTTGTCGGCTAACAACAGGTGATGGATCAGTCAAGTAAATTAAAATTATAAATATACCCGGACATTTAGATACATGAACTACAACAGATGATTAGAACTCAAAATGTTAGCATAATTAGCATTCCGCACAAAAGGCTACTTCAAGGTCAAAGCTAACGCAGCAGCCCATGTAATCTTTTTCAGACTTTATTGTAGTACTTTTTGAGTACTATTACATTGGTGGTCAAGGAAAAAAAAAATGATAATATGTTAGTCATGATATTGATTTATTATAAAAAAAGTATTTTTTTACTAATTAGATCAACATTTGGGAACAAAGTTGACAAATACTAACTCCTCTCTTTTTGATATGATACCATACATGGTTGTTTTGAGCCAAATAATTAATAATACATTTATATAAAAAAAACATTTTTCTGCAACTAGAAAACTACATTCAGGAGAGTGAACTCTTCTAAAAAACTCTCTGGCCTCAAACGCCCCAGTTTTTTTTTTCTTTTCTTTCTGACGGGAGTGCACGTCAGGCCAAAAACACAAAGAACCGACACATATCTCTTCTTTTTCTTCTCTTCACTCCCTCACACACTCTCAAAGCCAGCGTGGGCATCCTGCTGGGCCGCTCTCATCATGGCTGGTGAGCTGTGGGCTAATCCAGTTAGGTGACTTTCACAGTTCACTGATAAGCAGAGAGAGCCTTGTAATGCACTGGAGCCTGATAATGAGTCGAGTCACTGGCACGGTGACAGCGTTAAAAAAAAAAAAAAAAAAGCCCACGGTCGACCCATTCGCACAGTGACTGATCCAGTAACGAGTTCACAGCTCCGACGGATGAGGAGGTTTTATCAATGACTCGAGTTCAACGACAAAAAAAAGTGGGAAATGATTACAGCGACTGGAGTGGTTTATTAAAAGTACGTCAGACGCGAGCTGGTTTGATTCAGCAACAACAGCTCCTCATTAGCTGCCCTCCATAACTTTCCAGGGCATTTATCCAACCATAGGGAGACGCACTCCTATGCATTAGACGATCGCCCTCAAAACATCATTAGCGCCGCGTTGTTTCAACGCAGAGACCGCTGCAAAGACACGCAGAGACACGGCTCCTCCGCTCCCCTCGCACGGCTTAACGCAGAGACCGCTGCAAAGACACGCAAAGACACGGCTCCTCCGCTGCCCTCGCACGGCTGCAGCATGTTGATCATGTTGAGCTCCGAGGGCCCGCGGCCCCCGGTGGGACCTTATCTCCCTCTGTCAACGCTCACATTAACATAACATGAATAGCCAGTTCACTCCCCTCTCGGCCTCCGAGGGACTCTCTCTATTCCCCGTCCTGTTATCGACGGCTGCATTAGAAGCCGGCGCACTCTGTCGACTGGATGTTAGAGGGCAGAACGGCACGGTGACTGACGGGCAAGAAAAACACCAGATAGATTAACTGCCAACGCAGTTGCCATTAGCTAAGATCCATACAGACTCAGAGAGGGGCATCAAGACAACAGGGATGAACGGGGCAACTGAGGCAACATGTGAATGAGTGACTCAGACAGGATGAGGAAAAAGAGAAGTTAAAAAAAATGCCTCGTTAACAGGAGACAGGGGTCACCGCCACCAAGACAGGAAGTTCTGGATTGTTTTGGATACCTCGGCGGCTGGACACTCCAAAAAAAGAAAAAGAAATCTCAAATCACATTTTTGAATAATGTTATTATGGGATGTCTACTCAGTTACGGGCCGGATTGGACGTTCAAGCGGGTCAGATGTGGTCCGCAGCCCACCAGTTGATGATCGAAATCGAAAAAAAAGTGACAGAAACGGTAATTAGTGTTTGGGTTTGGAGTAGTCACAACATCAACGAGGAGCCGTGTGGCGATGGTACAGTGTGAGTGTGTGTGTGTGTGTGTGTGTGTGTGACCAGATGAAGAGCCATTCAAGGAGCTCGAACTGAAAACAAAGAAGCTGCCATGATGCTGCTGCTGCTGCTGCTGCTGCTGCTGCTGCTGCTGCTGGCATGTTTCAGAGACAACAGTCCTGACCCCCATCTGGTCACTGACACACACACACACACACACGTACACAAACCACCAGCAGAGAGGGAAGCATCAAAATGGCTCCCTGCCAGACTGCACGTGTGTGTGTGTGTGTGTGTGTGTGTGTGTTTGTTTGTCATCACACAGGGATAGACAAACAGGTTGGCAGGCTGCCAATCAGAGATCCTTCAAGACAAACCATGCAAATTTGACACACTCAGACCCCCCCCCCCCACACACACACACATAATGACACACACATATACACAGGCTGAGGCCTTTGAGTGCCTTTATCTCACAGAGCTGATAAAAAAAAAAAAAAAAAAAAGTGTAATTAGCTATTAGCTAGCTGGAGGGTTCGGAGGGAATCGAGCTTTGTATCACTTTCTTATTAGGCTTCATGCGATATTCACTGACTGCGTAAATTAGCGTTGTAGTCAGTCTGTCTAATAAAGATCTGGATGAGCGACAGAAGGCGGAGCTGACTTTATTAGCTTGCGTGTGTATCAACTTCAGTAGCACGAAATGTATTCTCCCAGCTGCTTGAATGTAGTCGAGGACGGAAGCCGACGGATAGGAATTATGGGAAATACAAATATCATTACCGCTGCTTGAGAACAAAGCAAGAGGTTGAAACAATCAGTCTCCATTAAAGCCACACTAATGCATGACAACAGCAGTGCAGTCCATGGTATGAAGGGCCATTGTTTGACTCGAGCTTGTAGTCTTCAAAGTTGCTCTTCTTTTTTTTTTTTTCCTTTTTTTTTCCAACCCACTTATTAAAGTTGCTCTTCTTTTTTTTTTTTTCCAACCCACTTATCGTCCTTTACCGAAAACCCCTTATTTTGTATCTCGGTCTTTGATTCAGACTAAGAAACTGTGCAGCTTAAACACAGACTGTTATTCGGCCAACGCCTAATCAGGAGACTGCGGTGAGAATTGTGGCCTGTGTGTGTGTCTGTGTGTGTGTGTGTGTGTGTAGTAGAGTATTTGCATATAATTGACATGTGCAGACAAAGAATGACTGCTTCTTTCATGTGGTGACACAGTCCTGCACACTTTTAAAGTCTGAAGTGGATTTAAAAAAAAAAAAAAGTTTCCTTGAATTACCGTTATTTCCAGACTATTGAACGCACCTGAATATAAGCCACACCCACTAAATTTGAAAAGAAAAAAATTAATATATTCATCCTGTACATATATAAGCCGCACTTTCCACGTTGTAACATGGGATATTTATACAGAAATAACTTTTCATTAAATAAATAACTTTGTTCTGAACAGTAACTGTAACATGGCTAGTAACACGTTAGCTATTTCCTTCTTCTGCGCCCCGACGCTAACGTTAGCTTCGGGGCTAACTCCCTTCATTTCGTTGGGGTCAAACCAGCGTATAACCAACCAACGCTTCAACGTTCAAACAGCCATTCACAGACAGACATAGGCTAATAGTGTAACACACAGTAGCCTACCAGAAAAGTCATTGATGGCTAACGACATGAGCTTCGTTAGTAAAAAACATATAAATTAGCCACATCGTTGTTTAAGCCACAGGATTCAAAGCGTGTCAGAAAAAATAGCGGCTTGTAGAGCGGAAATGACTGTTAATATATTATGGGTTGGTGATGTTAAAGCTAGAGATGAGGGGTGCTCACCAGTGCCACCTGTGGTCTGTTTTTGCCTTGATGCATTTTTGCCAACTGTCATGAATCTGGCAGAAATGGTTTTAAAATTGGAAGTAGAACATGTCTTTTCTCAAATAACCCTCAAAAGGATGTCTGGGTTTATTTCTACCACTGGGTGATTTTTATAAAAAAGACTAAAGTAATAAATAAGTGATGAGAAAAGACCTGTCAGGTTCTTGTTCATGTAGTGCAGACAAGCGCACGGACGACGACGGGGAGAGGTGAACAGAGCAGCTCCTGTTACAGCAGCAGCCATGTCATGTTTTGACACGTGAAGCAGACAGCGCTGCTCTCTGCCTTTTGTCTCTGCCTTACTTTAACACGATCACATGCGGCAGCACCAAGACTCTGTCCAAATCTGTTTGAGCTGCTTTAAAATCCAAGGTTCTCAAACTCAGGTGAGCTGACGGCTACTCCTGTCATGTTCTTTTCGGCGAACGACCTCATCATTGTTCAGTTTTTAATACACAGCGTCAAGAAAGAGTTGTTAAAATGTATTTTCTCCATCTTAAATGACAAATTGAAGCATCATAATTAAATATATTTTAAAAATATTAAAGAAAAAACTGAAGGCAAAACTCTAGGGAAAAATTATTTTTTTTTGTCAAGGGTCAGATGTGGGTTGGGGGAGGAGGGGTCATGGGCTAAAAGTGGACCCTGGGCCGTGAGTTTGAAGCCACCTGGTTTACCTTATTAAATCAAAATATATATTTGTTTATATAAAAATATATGTAAAAATTTGTTTTTACATATATTACCATATGTTCCATTACCATATGGGTATATATATGTATACCTCCATCTATCGATATATATAAATATATACGTACATACACATATGTACGTATATATGTATAGACATATACATATATATATTTAAATATACATATATATATACACATACATGAATCCTCTCAACTCAACAAGACTGATAAGACTTCATTGGAATCGTACCTCAGAGGTCGATTCTCTCGTCCATCATAGATGTGAAAGAAGACTTCTAGCTCCTCCCCCAGGTTGGCGCTCATCAGGCTCTTGACGTGAACAAACAGGTGATGGGTGCTGGCAGGTGCAGAGGTCTCCTTCTTCCGATGACGGTGTTCCATCTGTGTAGGGAGACGACCACATCAGCTCAGATCTAGGGTTAACTGTGGGGCTAATGATCTGCATTTGGCCCAGGAGCCACGGGTTTGTTTTCATGACACTGCAGTTTCTAACTCTCACCCAGGAGCCACGGGTTTGTTTTCATGAAACTGCAGTTTCTAACTCTGTCAACTGACATTGATGACATTTTCAACTTCTCTCAAATTGATGATAATCATGAAACAAAGTTCAATCTTTGACTTTTCTAAACATTTAATGGACAAAAAAAAATGACGAATGACTAATTAGTGCCTTTGTCCTGAATAAATACATGTTTTTTGGCATAATCAAATACAAATTTCAACACACTGCTGCAAAACCTGTGGACCCCTCGGGGGTTGCCTACCCCCTGTTGAGGACCTTCATGATTGAGGAATGAGCTGACAGGAAATGAACAGGATAAAAATTCATTTTTGTAAGATATTTAAATGAAGCGTACAAGGTTATCAACACAGCTGTCAAACATTAATGTCAAGCCTGACAGATATCAGTGTTGGAGTCAGATTTTTTAACTTTTATTACAGATGGAAAAAACACACAGACCAGGAAGAAAGTGTGAATTTAATCCAGCCTGTTACGTGAGTTTGTTTTCTCACTTTGTTGGTGTAAAAAAAAATCAATCACAGCTGGTTCACCTGTGAAAACACATTAAATGAGTTTTATCATTTGGAACGCAACACACCTGCATTCTGTCTGTTATCATTTAACTCGGGCCATTATGTTGTAGTGAGCTAATTATCCTCAAACAGAAACGGGTGTAATCTGTGTTACTTTGAAATCGAAAGAAAAAGGTTTGATTCACAGGGGTGAAAGAATCCGGTAGGTTCACTGCTATAAAAAGAAAACATTTATAACCAAAAGGGATAAGAGAAACATTCTGGTAAATACAGTATGTACAAAGAACATTCACTCTCTAAATATGAAAAAAAAGAACACTAACAAGAGTACCAGATGGCCAATAGTACCAGGCCTGAAGTCTGCTCCACAGTGAATTCAGTAGTGGGTCGTGAAAGATGAGGAGGGATGAAGAGGAGGATGAAGAGAGCTGAGGTCAGACTACAGTACATGTTAGGCAATGAACTCAGTTATTGCCTGTTTTGACAGACGGTAGTATAAACAATAGATTGATGTTGTGCAGTCAGGACAAGGCCATGTCTGAGAGGAAGTCGACACGGGTCTGATCTGACATTTTTTGGATGTTAAACATAAGGACACAGAAGCAGAGCAGCAGAGAGACACAGAGCAGGGATCAGAATCAGGCTGCCAGATGGTATCTACTGTTGTTTGTTCAACACCATAGACACAGTGAATAAAAATAGCCAGTAAATTAAAAAAACAAAATAATAAAAATAGCCAGTAAATTAAAAAAAAAAGGTACCAAGCTACAAAGGTGTGGCTAATCACCGCAAAGGGTGAGTAAAAATATAAATAATAATAGTTTTTTTTTTTTGCCAAAAGACTAAAGTAGTGATATATATATGTATATACTGTATATATGTGTGTGTATGTATTTTATATTGTTACATATATGTGTATGTATGTATATACATTTCTACTTTTACATATATACATGTGTGTGTATGTATATACGTATGTATGTATGCATGTATGTATGTACAGTATGTATGTATGTATGTATTATATATTTGTGTGTGTATGTATGTATATATATTTATTCTGTCTCTTCTCTAAATCTATTACTTGACAATATATGTCAATATATGTTTCCCTGCAGTCATATACAAGCACATATATACATATATACACACACATATACATACTTATATACATATATATGAATATATACAAATATATATGTGTATGTATGGGCACATATAAATCTTACCATGTATGTATGTGTGCAAAACAGCACTGAGAGCTGGTGTTGACGTAGAATGACTACATGCTGGAAGGCCTTCATTTATGCTGCGGGTTTTTATTACCAGGATATTTTCAGTGTGTCATTAAAGCTGCCCAGCGGGAGCGGTGAGTGGTGAAATCACCGCTTCAGCATGACGAGACAGCAACGACTGGGTGAAGACACAGCGAGTCTCACAGCATCATGTATGGCTGTGAGAAGAGATAGGCCAACACAGGGTCCGTGACCGTGTGTGTGTGTGTGTGTGTGTGTGTGTGTTTGTCCAAATGTTCTAGCATTGTTCACGTACTAATCTCTTCCAACAACGACGACACAGAGCAGCATCAAGGGATGGGATTCCAGACTACAAAGAGATTCTCCTCGGGAAACAGGGTCAAACCAAGGCCAGAGAAGAACATTTTCAATCCTCCAACCGAGCTGCTTCAAAACTGAAGCCTCTCATCTTTGAGTTTGTGAGACAAAGACCGGTTTGGGAAGGCCAAGTCGTAGGTGAAGGTCTTTTAGGTATCTTTATCTCAGGGGTGTCCACACTTTTTCGGCTTTGGACCTACTTTTCAAAAGACCAGGGTAAAGTGATCTACGTTGAAAACCTTAAATATATCTTTACTCGTAAAAACTGAATATCTTTTTATTTACGTTATATGTTGGATATGTCATGATAAGCGAAAAAACCACCAAGTAGAGAAGCGTTAGTGAGTTAATTAGCCTGGTCTTCCACTTACTCTCCTACTTTAAGCGAAAAAACCACCAAGTAGAGAAGTGTTAGTGAGTTAATTAGCCTGGTCTACCTTCTTATCGTCCACTCTCCTACTCAACAAACGTCCAACCTTGGACGTCCACATACTGTACATGTCCCAAATTCTAACCAACAATCATGGCTCTGATTGGCTCTTGCTCTCATTTGTTCTTACATTTTACATATTCTGATTGGTCTTCTTTACTGAATCTTGGCCAGTTAGCGCCACTTAAAATCCTGTTTAGTTGTAATTTGGTTTTCATTTGAGAAAAGAACGTGATTGACAAAATCGTCGATGAAGGATTGTAAATTCACAATTAACCAGGTTTTGTACCACACTTTAGTCCATTAAAACATCATTATGAGAAATGTATTATCTATATTTTAAAAAAATCTATTTTTCCTAAACATTCTTTCTTTCATTTCTTCCGAGAAAACTAGCAGCTATTTTCTTAGAAATGCTGCAGCTCCAGAGATGCAGTAGCACCTGTGTGGCCCGTCGACACACACACAGCAGGCAGAGGCTCACACATATAAACACACACTGATCTCTATCTCAATTCAATTAAGACAAACTGCGGCCACACATCGCAGAACACCGACAAAGAAACAGCCCTCGCAAACAAAGATCACACACAAAAAAAACATTATTAGACTCCGCGTCGCGAAACAATCGCGCACGTTCTTTTGTACGTGGCCCCTTTATCTCGTTCCCTGTAAAGGGGAGTGTAGGGATCTGTTCATTACGTGCACATCATTAAGTAAAGCTACATTTTGGCTTTCGTGCTCCTGTGTCTGCTTTTGTTGTGACTTCCAGAAAAAAAAACCCAAAACAAACAAACAAACAAACAAAAAAACCTGATGGATTAGAGCTTCAAATATCCCTGCGAAGACACAACGCACGTCTCCTCTCCGAGTGTTGGTGTGTTTATCTGTGTGTCTGTGATACTATTCTCCCCACAACATAACAGGGCAGAGAAGTGGTTGTCATGGTAACAGTGCATGGGGGCTTGGAGAAAGAGAGGGAGAGGGGCAGGACGAGAAAAGGATGGAGTTTGGGGACAGATTCATTTCATTTCTCCACACAATGAAGGACAGGGAGGCAGAGACTAAAGGTTGTTTAGCTGTGTTTTCACCACACAGCAAACTGACTGTTTTTTTAAATTACATTAGTGGCAAAGATGACGCTGTAAACATTTCTGTAAATGAAGTGGTTCATTCTAATGTCAACGTTTCATTTGAGCCAGATTGTGAAACAAACGGCTTAAACAAAAATCGCGCTTGTTTGTTTGGATTGGTGGGTTGACTTGGTGCGAGAGACAAAGGTTTCAATGTTAAGCTATATATATATAGCTTATGTATAAGCTAGCTAGCTAGCAGGAATCGGTCTATGTAATGGCCAGGGTAGCGACAATGATGCCTGGGCTGTCCTAGGAAAAAGTGAAATTATAGAAGTGCTTCCCAAACTTTCTGTGGCAAGGTGTTACTGCAGTATCTTTGTGCTGCCCAGGGGGTGAGACCCTCATTTTGGAAACTGTAATCAAGGGATCCTGCATATATTTAAACCATACAGTTTAGGTGTTGTTACTAAACAAGCAAAGAATACCAGGAACACTACATCCCGTGATATAAAAATGCATTGTTAAGTGGTGTTGGATGTTTTTGTGGACTAAAATACCCAACGTTCCCACTGGGTTTTTTGTGTGTTAAAATTAGGTTCCTTCAAACAAAAACACAATTTAAAAAAAGCCACAAAATTCTCCCTTCAAGGGTTCAGAGAAATTGACAATTTGTTCCATGTCAAACTATCTTAGCATCAAGCACAGCTTTTAAATTAGGCCTGAAGTGAGACTGTTTTGCTAACGCCTGTCACTGGGGTTAAGAATAAACTTCAAAGACTCAGGCAAATCAGAAAGTCCAGTCTGCTGTGCTTTTATAAAAACATATATTAACAAAAAAGAAAGGAAAAGGCAGAGAGGGTTTTTCTCAGCCGAGAACTGTGATTTGAACCGTTTGAAGGGCTGGAGACAGAGAGATATGGTACGATTTACCAGTTCACGTCACTAAACCATCCACTGTCATCAGTGATGGATAGACCTTCACACAGTCCTGGAGGAGAGTTGGAGGAGAAGGTGTAGTGAAGTGAGCACACTGGTACAACACGCCTCGACAGACTAACACCGTCAGCTGAAGGATGGGTTTCCAGGACGCGGTCTGGTCGGAGCTGCTGTTGCTGCAGTAGCCGCAGCTGTACATGAACGTTTGACGTCGAACAAAATGTTAGCAAACTGGCTGTGATGCTGTAGAAACTGATAGTTTGAAGTCAATATAAAGATGGAGTGTGTTTATAGACACACTCCATCATTATATTGACAAAAGGTTACAGAAGTGTTTCTCAACCTGTAGGTCGTGACACCACATAGGGACGCCTAGAATTCAAATAGGGCCATCTCTACTGTCTAGTAATTTGATTGAAAAAAGTATTTCATAAACTTAGTTCAAACAAAATACACCATTCATTGCGTGTTCACGATATTTAAGACAAACGGAGTGACGACCAGAAACTGGTTTTATTGTTATATCAGAAAGAACAATATGGTGTCATTCTGTATTGTGTATAAAAACATATGTAAAATATATCCTTAAAACTCAATATATCACCAGCCTTAATGACTGTATACTGCTATTAATATATAAAATGCTAACCCTAATGCTACCTTCATTCATCAAATACCTGTTGGGAATATTTAAGGTCTATGAAAATCCTCAAACTTTGGTCACACTATACTGGATAATTAAAACACAGGAAAAAGGTCAACACGAGGCCACAGACTAGAAGTACTGATGTGCGGTGCTGGGAGAAGGCAGTATTATTATCAGCAGTAACCACAGCAACGAAGCAAGGGAACAGTCAAGATAATATATGTTAGACACCATGACACTGAATGGGGAAAGGTATTAACAGGAGGTAGTTGTGGATGGAGTATATGGTATTACTACCTTCATACCGTCCTTATAAATGGTAGTAAAAAGGGACTTGAAGTACAAGTTGCGCACAACATTATTACCAGTTGAGCTAAATTTAGATGAGCCTTTTAGCCGATAATGACTGTTTTCCTCCTCACCTTTTGTCCGTGAAGCACAGAACATTCAATTAATGGCTGTGTTTGAAGAAAACAACAATCTGTGAACGACCTGTTTTTCTAACGTCCTCACGTGAACCTCGAGCATTTCTAATAAACCAACAGCCACAGAGGGAGGAGACAGACTCAACCAGGAACACTTTCTCATCTCGTCCAGCCGACCTCCCAAAATAAAAGCACATAAATATTGAAAGAGGAGCTCCAAAAACATTTACCAGTCTGTAAAGCTCTGTGACGCTGATTTCATCTGGGTCCACCATGCTGAACTCTCGCCGGGGGACCAGGTCCAGGCACAGCTGTCTGTGAGACAAAGATGTGAACAGGAAGTGCACAAAATCAGAAGTATTCATTGTTTTTGTTTTTGTTTTACAATGGTATGATAAATATAAGTGGTACACAGTGGCTTTGTACTGTACCTAGGTCGGCCAGTGACCGGTCGATCTGTGCCATTTATTAAAGGGTTGTTAACGGATTATTAAGAAAAGGTATATTTTCAAAATAAAACATATTTTAAGCTTCATTTAACTGATCATGAACTGGTGTATATGTGTATGTGTTAATGTCAGGACCTCTGTGATTGGTTGAACTCAGTGTTAGTAGAGTACAGAGCAGTGGCCCGCGGGTCGAGTCTGGCCCGCCAAACCAACCAATCCAGCCCGTGACTAGATTCACAAATAAACATCAAAGAATAATTTTAGACAAAAAAAAAGTGATTTTACTTAATTTTGTTTGAGAGTCTGGCCACTACGGTTTCTGTCCAAAAGAATTCCAAAAGACAAATATCAACTATATTTGTCTGTTAGCATATGAGTCCAAAAGACGTTTTATTTTGAAAAAAAAAAAGACCCAATTAACTTTAACTGAAGAAAGTAAATGGAAATGACCAGATTTTTCTTAATTCAGTAATTCAGTTTTTTTAATTCAGTAAATTGTTCATTTTTTCTCTGCAGCCCAGTGTCTAATGACGGGTCCGTGAACCAGGGGTTGAGGAACATTTGAATTATACTGTATACTACAGATGGTCTGTATTATCAACACATATCCATGCATACTCTCAATGTGTACTCTGTGTATAATATTTTCTGTGAGTAGTGGGTGTACATGTGTGGGAGCACAAAAGCACGTATAGCAGAGCGGCCAGATTAGCCTTGTCAATCATCAAATCTTGACAGATCATTCCGGTCTCTAGGAGACGGCGGCCCCGCTGTTCCCTTTACTGTCGTCCCACCACCGCTCTCTTTATATCTTCATCCCTCCATCCGTTCCACCAACACCAACAACTCCCACGTTCTCTCATTTTCCATCTCATCTTTTCTCTCTGTCCTCCTCTGGGCCCGGCTGTCTCCACGGACCGACGCATCACGTGCGAGACTCCACGTCTCCTTGTCAGTAATAAAAGCAGCGCTGGTCAACCGTACAAGCGCACATGAAGAGAAGAAGCCGTTTGAGCCGTCTCTTCCGTCGGGTGAAAAAGAAAATGGAGGTGAGTGCAGAATATTGACTGACAGAAGAATGAAAAAATCCATACGGTGTGAAGACAAAGACGTGTGAAGAAAAGGAGAAACCTGACGGGTGATCAGCGTAGACAGAGGAGCGAAGAAAAAAAAAAAAAAGTCGGTTCAGACGCCCTGGACTTCATAGGGTTAAAACTAGGGATGTCCGATATTAGCATAATTATGTAATATCTGTACGAATCGTTATTGGTTTTTCCTCCGATAATGAATACCCAATAATGTTTTGCCAAATATGGGTACCTTAGTAAAACAGCTGCATATATCGGTATCGGTTGATATCGGAAATTAGGTGTTTGGACAACATCGTCATTTCCGATAACGGAAAAAAAGTTAATATTGAATATCTCTAGTTAAAACTTCAAATAAAAATGAACTGAATAGAAATAAACATTTCACCATCTCTACATAAGGTTAGCTTTCTTGTCATGTAGCCTTATGATGCAACATTGATTTGTCAGGTTTTTTTGCACACATTTGATTCTCTTGTGTCTGCTGACCCTCCAGTACCAGTTTGGACCGGTCAGAACATGTGTTATAATCCAACTTCACACACTGTGTCTGTATTTTCTACTCGTACGTACTCCAGTCAGGACAGCGATCGTGTACAAACCAAAAGCCTAGCGCAGCCGTTCACTTAGCACAGCGCTAATGAAACAGGTCTATGTCATCTGTATCGACATGAGGGAGACAGAAAATAAGGTTTTGGTAAAAGTTAAGTAAGTCACACGTTTAACTATAAACTTGTACAGACCACGCCCCAAAAACCCTGCAACGACACGGAAAAAGCAACGCAGGGCGCTAGCAAATACCTAGCGAGGAAACGAAAAAAAACGAAATAACCAAGTTGTTTTTCATTTGTAAGCGTTTCGTTTTAAAAGCGTCAGGTGGGAACGTCTTAATCCAGCTCGAACCAAAAGTTCAGGCACGAGGCCCAGAGAGTGAGAGTGTGAGACGACAGAAAGAGTAGAGTCACAGCTGAGACAGCAGCTCCGTTCAGGGGCTTTCCCTGTTGTATTTATTAAAATAAAACTGCTTAAAGAGCACTCTCCACTCTGGTTCTCCTTAACGCAGTGGGTCGTGATAAAAGTATGAATGACACCGTTGTTACCTTCTGTTGCTGCTACTACTTTAAATAAAAAAAAAAAGATTTTACATAAAAAGAAGCTCTGGAAAAAAAAAAAAAGAAGATTTTACATAAAAAGAAGCTCTCTGTTGAAACATTGCTTTATGCTTCAAAATAAAACAGAATAAATCTGGATTTCGTGTCTTATGTTACTAATTTATAGATATTTGAGATATCTATGTTCACCAAATATATTTTTCAAAATTTTCTGGACGGACACACTGGGGGCCGGACACTCAAAAAGAATGAAAAAAAAATCACATTTTTGTCTAAAATTATTATTTGATATTTATTGTAGAATCTAGTCATGGTCCAAATTGGACGGTTCAGCGAGCTGAAGTCAGCCCACGAGCCACCAGTTGATAACAGTATTATATTAAGATTTTTTTTTCAGAAGATCAAGATAAAGAAATGATTTTCAGAACATGATTCTCCAGACCTAGAACTTTACTAACGTTCCGTGAAGACATTAAGGAACCACATGGATCTATATAACAGTACCGTGATACGGTTTGTCCCTTTAAGGCCACAGTGAAAGGACTGATCGGTGATTGTTGTTTACTCACTCGTTGCCCCAGTCCAATCTGGCTGTGATGTGCTGCTTAACATCCCTCATGCGGTCATGGGTGAGGTGGCCCACCAGTACCTGCCTCCTGAGGTCCAGGATTTCATTCATCACGTGCCAAAGCCGGTGGAACAAATCCCCCTCGTTCTTCTGGAGCGGGAAAATGGAAAAGGAGAGGAGGCGAGGAGATGAATGGAAAGGAAATTGACAACAAAAGAAGATGTGATTAGAGGGAGAATAAAACGGGGGCAGACGAGGACGACGAGAAAACCACAGGGTTGTAAACATGACATTAGAAAAAAATTCCGTGGAGTGGTAAAGGGCGACCGAGTCTGAGCGGCAGATGGAGACTTCAACGGCGGATCTGTGCAAACGAGCTTCGGTGTCCTGCTGTTTTCTCGCCACAAATGTATGCACTTTGATCGGTGAGAATCCATCAGCTCCGTTTAATCAGCGCCCCAGATAGTTTAATGGGCCGCAAAATACCATCAATCATACCAATGAGCGTGCACCAAAAAGCCGTGAATGTTGGGAGGCGTACTGATCCCCCTCCACCCCGAAAAAGACACAAAAAACTTAACTATTCTCACCACGTAGAGCTGTTTCCACATGGCGCCCCAGTCTCGCAACGTCAGCGTCATCTCTGTGATGACAGAGTCCTCCACCGGGATGACCGTCTCAAACTGCCTGCAAAGGTACAGACTCTGAGGTTAGAATCCACACCAACACAAAAACATAACACAAAGATATTAAAAAAACAAAAGAAACCTGGCATGACTTACCCTTTATTCTTAACATGGGCATTTTTCAGGTGGATGTAGTTGGATGGGAAAATCCCCTTTGGACAGAAGGTGAGCAGGTTAATGAAAAGCACTTGATTCCTGCAGCTTTATCATTTGAGCGTTTAAGTGTGTTGAAATAATTCACATAATCAATACGCGGCTACGAGTGCATTTGTGGGAGAGATGAAGGAGAGACGAGGAGATAAAAGCCAAGAAGGGGGAGAGAAAATATAAAAAAATGGTTCTGCGTGTGTGTATGTGTTTGTATGTGTGTGTGTAAAACATAATATTCTCCAAGAATTAGTGGCAGCTTGAAGTCCCTTCACTCGCCTCCGTGTGTTGCCTTAAATTTCTGCTATTATTCATCTGAACAGAGTTGTGTTTTAATGACAACTCAAGGCTTAGTTTTTGTTTGTGTTTCTTGAAACAGCACTGAATAACAATTTTTAAAAAAAACATGTCAAAACTGCTACTGCCTCACCTTAATGTTAGGATTCTTCAGGATGAATCCTCTGTACCAACCTGTAGACACAGTTAAACAAACGAGAATCTTACACCTGATCTGTATCTCTGTAATATGGTGTTAGTATTGAACACAATGGTTTTCATGAAAACAATCTGGAGGGCAGAAAACAAGAGAAAGAAAAATATCTTTTCTAGTCCTTTAATATAATACATGGAAATAAAGCCGCGGCCTATATTCAGTTTCAGTCTGACTCATTCATGCAGAATCATCAGAATCACTGTCAATGGGAAAAGTCACGCCACATACAGTGTTTCCTAATAGGAAGTCCTCATAATGAGGAACTCATTATGAGGACTTCCTGTCAATCTGCTTCCTGTCAATCTGCTGCTCGCCACAATATAAGCTACAAATATTTATTACATCAGAATAAAAGCAGCAGGTTAGGTTAGAGGAGTTTCACACTCATGGTTTTTTTAAATTATTATTATAAGGACCAGTTTTAATTCCATGAATAATGAACGGTAGATCACTGGTTTGACCAAAGGAAAAATTTTCTGCTCAATGTTTTATATATATATGTAAAAATATACATATTTATATATACAGTATATATATATGCGTGTGTGTATATATATATATATATGTATGTATATATATATATACATATATATATATATATACATACATATATACACATATACATTGAAACATTACATTCGGCATACATTGACTTCCCGTGTTAATTCCTAAACTATAAATACATCCTTCCACAGTCTTCTATCCAGACCGGAGTTATATGTCAGTAAAGTAAAAGTTTGCCCTGGAAGCTACACTTGTGACATGTCAACAGTGTCAACATGAGGCAGAGTCATTAGTCTGTCTGCTCAGCTGTCATCAGCCTGTCTCTCGGCCTCCGCGCTGCTAAAAGGATTTAGGATTTTGTCCCTCCCTCCTGAGCCAGGCATTCCACCGACTGCACTATTGTCTACTTCCTCTTTTCAACACAATATCACATATTGCTGCACGACTGACTGCTCCCTCTGCTGACCGGCTGGCTGGCGGGCTGGCTGGCTGGCAGTCTGACGCTGACACACTCGATGTGAGAGCTTCTGTCTTCCGACAGGAAGTGAAACAAGGTGTGTCAAGAACTGCGGAAAAGGAAGCTGTTGGTGATGACTGAGTTTTTGTGATTTTTGGCATATTTAAGCATTTTTTTCTGAGGGGATGGTGATGCCTCTTATGTTTCAATCTTACTTCAATGTATTCTAATTTTTGGAAGAAGAGACGAAAAAAAAAGTTTCAATTTTTTAACATTTTTGAAGAGGCGACGTTGCAGTGTGGAGTGTAGGAGACGGGAAAAAAAATGAAGAGAAAAACAAAACTCTGTGTGGGCAGGAAGGCGGGAAAAGAAGCCAGCCCTGTGCTGCAGGAAATGGCAGCAAACATGAGTTACCACATGTATTCATCTACTACATGCTGCTGTTGTTTTTTTTACAGCACATACTCTGTCATAACATGCCTGGTGGAACTTTATATACATGAACCACAAACATACGTCTCTGTGTCCTGACATCAATCTGAGATATTTCTGCAAAAAAGTCCTGCCTGTGTTTGTGTAGGAGGAGTCACTTGGTTAGTATTTCTCATGCAAAAACACAAATAAAAGCTCATTTTTTGTACAGTTCTTCTGCTGGTTGTGTGTCTCACCTTCACATTTCTCCAGGATCTGCACCGTGTCTCCAATTTCCAGGGGCAGGCCGTGCTGGACGGTCCCTCGGAAACTGGCCAGCACTGCAACAAAGGGAGGCATAAAACACCCACGTTAGATGATTTTTTTTTAAACTCTTCTGCAGAGTAAGGTAAACATCCTGAGCCAGAATAGGTTAGAAAAATATGGAAAAATATTATGTAAAAAAAAAGAGGGAGAAAAGGTGCGATCAATATCCGTGTAGGTGAAGTAAAACAAAAGTATTTATGCAGATACTGTGAACATAAAATACCACACAGTATTTGAAACATGTTGAACTATTTTTTTTTTTCTAATACAAATGATTGCAACCAACGATTGAGGCACAGAACACACGCATAGGGTTCTGGGTTTGAGCCCCAAGGAACCACATATCCCTAATGGCGCCTCTGGTGGTCTGTGTGAAGACCAACACAAATGAGTGATTTCAATTATTATTTTTATTATTGTCGTTATTGTTGTTGTTATTGTTATTGCTGTTGTTGTTGTTTTTATTTATAGATGCTAAGGAAACATATTGAAGCAGCAATATGTTATTAGACAGAGCCACACATCCCTAATGGCGCCTCCGGTGGCAGTCTGTGTGAATTGCAAAGATCAACACGGTTAACTTACCCATTGTGGAACAAATGGAAGTTTTTAATTATTATTATTATTATTATTATTATTATCGTTATTACAACTATTACTATTACTATTATTATTGTTGTTGTTTATTTGTAGATGCCAGGAAACATATTGAAGCAGCAATATGTTATAAGAGAGAGCAAAATTAACCATTATTTAAGGACAGGATTTAAAGGCTTCAAGGGCCTAAAGTGGCCTGTGAGCCAGGTGTTTGATACCCCTGGTTTAGAAATCAACTGGTTGAATTGTTGTTTACACACAGGTTAAACAAAAAAAGATTTTAAAAAAACTGAAAACAGAACAGAACATTTCAATAAAAATTCAACGGTCCATGAGTGTTGCCTTGCAGTCAGTGAAGGAGTCCTCAACACTGCGTGTGCACACGGACATCTTAATGACTGTATACTGCTATTAATATATAAAATGCTAACCCTAATGCTACCTTCATTCATCAAATACCTGTTGGGAATATTTAAGGTCTATGAAAATCCTCAAACTTTGGTCACACTATACTGGATAATTAAAACACAGGAAAAAGGTCAACACGAGGCCACAGACTAGAAGTACTGATGTGCGGTGCTGGGAGAAGGCAGTATTATTATCAGCAGTAACCACAGCAACGAAGCAAGGGAACAGTCAAGATAATATATGTTAGACACCATGACACTGAATGGGGAAAGGTATTAACAGGAGGTAGAATACACTGTGGATGGAGTATATGGTATTACTAGCTGTGTATCGTCCATATAAATGGTAGTAAAATGGGACTTGAAGTACAAGTTGTCACACACACACACACACACAGAGGCTCTATAAAAGTGTCCACAGGCTCCTGCACTGACAGGAAAGAAGGAAAAAGAAACACACACACAAGTCAACTATTTACATAGTAATGTATGCATGCACGGCGGGTCACACAGAGACATGCATTCACACATGGACACACAGACATGCATTGACGTAAATGGACACACAGGCCGAGGACAGAGACGGCCTCACTCAGACTGGGACTGAGGATGTAAAACAAGTGTCCCCTGTCACCCGGCCACAGCTGAGCACTTTATCTCTGCCCTCCTCCAGGAGGCGACGTACAAAAGCGCGGAGAGATTATATTTAATCCAGAGAAATGTAACCCCAGCTGGATGCACACATGAAACCAGGAGACCGCTGGCTATGATGAGACGGCAAAAAAAAAAAAAAAAAGCCCACTGGAAAAAACCATCTGCTCCAGCCCAGACGCAAACCATCGACTCTTTTGCTGTAAGGCAACATCGCTCACCGGTACTCCACCGCGTATCCCTGTTCAAAACAATTCTGATATCCATTTGTCTGATGGTGAGAATATTCAGAGAAGTGGCTCTCAAAATAGGGAGCGCATACCACTAGTAGTTCATAGCCTCGCCTAAGTGGTCGGCAAAGATTTTTTTTTTTCAGTAAATATTTTTTCTGGCCATATAAAAAAACAATGATGTCTTGCTCTAATGCTAATTAGTATATTATGGTATAATATATTACTACAATGTATTAGGACAGTGGTCTCAGACTTGGTGGCCAGTGCGCCTGTCATTACACTAGGGGGCCACATGAGGTATTGATGCTCAATACAAAAACGCCTGATATTTTAGAAAATGTAAAAGAAAAATAGTTACATTTATGAATACTGTTAAAAAAAATTCAATGAAATTTTAGATTATTGACATCAAATTGTGGGCCAAATTTGAGGAGGTTGTGGGCCAGTGTTGGCCCATGAGCCAGGGGTTTTAGAAAGTTACTCATCAAACTGTAATTTACACTAAAATCAGACTTAAAAAAGAAAATGGTTTCTTTATATTCTATAATATACAGAGAATATTAACTGTATTTTATATTTTATAAAATACAATTTACACTAAAATCAGACTTAAAAAATTAAAATGGTTTCTTTATATTCTATAATTAGAGTTAATATTCTCTGAGTTCATCAAAGAGGACAGCTCGAATTGTTAGAAGTTTTCAAAAACTAGTAAATGAGTTAGTAAGGGAAAATACTGACGTAATAAATGATGTAAAAATCAGTCTCGTCTTCCTGTTCCTCCTACATCTAAATCACTGAGACCCAGCTTATTAACCGTGTCTGTAACTGGAAAAGAATTTCCTTCTTTGATTGTGACGCAAGTTTTAAATAAAAATCTGCAAAAGAAGTGAAATTGAAAAGTCAGATTCAGAGCAAGGGTTGACTGTGGGAGCCCTGCAGCACCCAGGAGAGGATTCATCTGGTTTACCCATCCACCCACTCACCCACGGTAACACAGAGATCAGATCTGCTGACGTGATGAAACAGCATCTCGTGTTGTTCTCTTTGTAACTTCACACGTTTCTTCTCCTCTGTTTTCTACTGCATTTATTACCCGAGCTCCTTCCTGCTCCTCCGCGCTATCAATGGAGCTGCAGAAACACCCCCCCCTGCAGGTGACTGGTCACATCAGAGGCTGCCTCTTAATTTATTCACATGAAACCTGAAACTTCCTATAATCATTTGAAAAACCCAATCACCGCGGTACACACACAGGCAATCACCGCGAACACACCTTTACTCACTGTGTGCCCAGAGCATGAATTATCCAAGTGACTTTCGCAGCCGCAGCAAACTCAATTATTCAGTTTCAAGTGACCTTTTTTTTTTTCCTTGTTGTGAAACTAAAGCTTCTCCGTCTGTCTATCCTGGAGGCAGCTGCTGTCGGTCTGTCTCCAACTGCCCATCATCTGTCGGACTCTAACTGTCTGTCAACTGTGTGAAATGACTAAAACAGTTCAATCAATGCAACAAGAAAGACAGAATATGTTCAGTAGTGAGTATTTGTACAGCACATAATTGACCCAAAGTACTTTACAGTGCAAAAATAAATAAGTAAAGAACGATACAGCGGGTCCTCGACTGACGTTGTGGTTCGGTTCCTAGCAGTGACCTAACGTGGATTTCTGTCAAAAGTCTGAGCTTACATACAATTACATATCACGAAATACAAAAACTGAACCTCATGGCCAGGAACCTATTGCTTTTACAAGGAGTTAGTCATAGGGAACAACAACGAAGATTTGCGGCCAGGTAACGGAGAAACTCCGTAGGTCGTAATCGGAGGAACCTCTGTATAAATAAAAGCTATAAAACCCAGGAAACGCTGAGCTACTGAAACATGTTTAGTCTAAAAAACTAGTCAAAAGTCAGGGGTCAATGTCAAGGAAAATAGATTTGTTTTTAAGAGTTTATTTTAAAACGGGCAGAGTGTCAGCCAATCAGCAGGAGCAACCAAAAGAGAGTGATCAGCCGAGCTACAGTACATGGGGGAGCTGAAGTGTAAAGTGAAATTATAAAGAACATAAACAGAGAGAAACATGACATTGGCGGTTGTTCCAGCGTGTATAACTGATGACTCTTTGTCTCTCCTTCAACAAGGACCGATAACTCCGGCTCAGAGTCAGACGCTACAAGACGCTGCCCCCCTGGGTCACATGGAGGACATTGCTATTCTTAACCAGGTCTAAATGAGGCAGTACACAAAGATGACAGGGTGGGAGAACAATACAGCTGGAAACACACGGGGAGAAGTGGAATGACAAAGAAATAAACGGAGAAAACAAATCACACGGTACAGTAGATGTTTTCCACACGGGGGGTGGGGGCGGGGGTGGGGA